TGCTTAAAATAAGATGAGCACCGGTGCTCATCACTATTATTATTTTTTTTAATGAATTTACTACATTTTAATTAAATTAAAGGTCATTAATCTTTATTCATTCTAACATTTATATCTTTAACTTTTTTCTCATAACATTTTTATTTTCAACATTTCATTGATCATAAAATCTTGTCCTTAATCATGGTTTTCATTCAAAAATATTGTTAACGTGATTTAAAATGATTATCAAATACTTAATCGTATTTTTGAGCAGTATTATTTGTTTTGATTATTCAAAAATACAATGGGGATGAGTCCTTTTAATTTATATTAAAGAAAATTTTGGAGAGAATAAGAATGAGATGAAAAAAATTGAGACATAAATTTGATAATGTGTAAAAGTTACGAATTTTTTATGTAATTAAAATATATTTTAGTTATTGACAAAAGAAAACTTGTACATGTAATTATTACCGCAAGATTTCAAAATGCAGTTTCAATTTAGAAAAAAGCTGCATGTACAAGATTTTTGGCCAGAAAAAACAAGTGCAACGCCCTATTCGCCTGTTTGTCATTTTTTTCTTCCAATGAAAATGTGCCAAGTGTATTTTTTTGTACATTTTTCCTGTACTCATACTGGTTAATCACTTCATATATTAATTAATTTCCCTTTCCAAATTTCTCCTTGATTCAAGCATTAATTCAATGGTTATATTGAGTAAATCAATATTTCTTGTTCGAAAATTTCTGTATTTATTACATCAAGATTTCAAAATACAGTTCCAATCAATTTGTATATTAATTGATTTTGTTTTCCTTAATTTCCCTTGATTCAACATTAATTCAATGGTTATATTAAGTAAATAAATATTTCTTGGCTGAAATTTCCTTAGTCAAGTCTCTCTCTCTAAATCTTCTATATATAAAAAATGTCTATTTAACGGAATTTGTTGGTTTAACGGAAAAACTAACGGAATTTGTTGGTTTAACGGATTATGTAACGGAATTTCTTGTTTTATACAGGCAGCTGCACCTTCCTTCAGTGTTTTTATCATAACTTTGTATTCCGATGTTCGATTGAGACGATTCAAAATGCGTTGGAAAGCTAACCCATCTGGCTACAACTTTGATTCAGACATCATTCTCCAATTCGATCACTTTCTATGCCAAAAATATGTCTCAATATAATGGACTATGTAACGGAATG